AAACAAGGTTGAATGAAGTGATATTATTCAGGAACCTGCTGTACTACTCCACTGCTTCCTGCAGAAAAATCCTGTGCTCCAATGAGTAGCACAGACAGAAATCTGTGAACTTATTTATTGTGATGTTTATTTTCTACCAGGCTTTTGGAAACAAAAACTTTTTGAAACAACTACTGTAGCAAAGTCCACAGGCACACTAGACTACCAGGTTCTTTTGCTGTTAGCTGCAATCATATTACATAGAATAAAAGATTGATAGGAAGTCCTGATTCATTAAAATGGGGAAGGAAAATATTACTTAAGAAATATTGGCCAGGCACAGTGGCTCACGCCTGTAATCCCAACATTTTGGGAGGCTGAGGCGGATGGATCACTTGAGATCAGGAGTTAGAGACCAACCTGGCCAACATGGCAAAATCCCATCTCTATTAAAAATATAAAAATTAGCTGGGCATGAAGGTGCAGGCTTATAATCCCAGCTACTCAGGAGGCTGAGGCAGGAGAATCCTTGAATCCAGGAGGTAGAGGCTACAGTGAGCCAAGACATGCCACTGTACTCCAGCCTGGGCTACAGAGTGAGACTCTGTCTCAAAAAAAGAAATATACTTTGTTTAGCAGATAGCATCATTTAAAATCTAGTGTCCAGGAAAGGAGAGGAGAAACAGTAATGATGCACTTTGCTTAGAAACAACAAAAGCCATGCTTTAGAGGAGAATTCCCTTAGGTCAGTGCCTCCCGTCATTCCTCTCTAAAAATGACACCGTTACTGTTTCCAATGGGTCATATATGCAAATATATGCATATATGTAATTCTATTTCTCAATCTACCCAGCCACCATTCCTTTAAAGGTTGCCACTCCTCCAACCTCATATGATCCTGTAGGGGCTGGAAATTGCAGCTCTCTCCAAACCCTACACACACACACTCCCACTATTGCCACCCTGTTTAAATCTGTAATCCACACTATGCCAATCTGATTCTTCCCTTGTCATATCTGACTCTTGAGCAAAGACACTTAAAAATAAAAAATGAATAAAGCTGAGTCACATGAATGTATTTCATTAGAAAAGCCCAATCTCCTAGACTCTGCTGCTGGGATTCCTGGAGTTGCCTTCATTCTTGGTCTTTCTTCAACCTACTTGACCAGTTCTTCCATACTTAATGTTGTATAATAAAGAATTTGTCAGATCTTTGTCCTGGGTTACTGGGAGGTACCCACTGAATTTTTGGTATATTCCCAGTGATAGCGATGTCTTTATGATTCATGGCGAGCCCTTTGGACCACATATGAGTTCAGGCTAATAAGATGACTCAGGATGAGGGCAGCTCACTAGAAAAATCAACCATGGGATTAGAGGGTTGGGGCTCCGAGCCAGGTGATATCAATCCAACTTTTAGGGAGAAAAAGGGAGCTGGAAATCAAGTTCAATCATGTGTCCAATAATTCAATAAAACATGCTTATGTAATGAAACCCTAAGAAAAACCCTGGACCCCAAAGTTCAGTTGAGTTTCCTGGCTGGTAAACACAACGATGTGCTAGAAAGGGAGATGTGTCCTGATTCCACAAGGAGAGGACAAAAAAGTATTATATTCAGGACCCTCCCAGATCTTGCCCTATGAATTTCTTCTTTTGGCTGGTCCTGATTTGTATCTTTTATAATAAAATTATAATTGTAAGTATAGGGCTTTCCTGAGTTCTGTGAGTAGTTCTAGTTAATTATCAGATCTGAGAAGGCCATGGTAATATATGAATTGTAGCCAGCTGGTCAAAAGTGCAGGTGGCCTGGGAACAGCTTGAAATTATGGCTAATGCCGGGCGCGGTGGCTCACGACTGTAATCCCAGCACTTTGGGAGGCCGAGGCGGGTGGATCACGAGGTCAAGAGACCGAGACCATCCTGGTCAACATGGTGAAACCCTGTCTCTACTAAAAATACAAAAATTAGCTGGGGATGGTGGCGCGTGCCTGTAATCCCAGCTACTCAGGAGGCTGAGGCAGGAGAATTGCCTGAACCCAGGAGGCGGAGGTTGCGGTGAGCTGAGATCGCGCCATTGCACTCCAGCCTGGGTAACAAGAGCGAAACTCCGTCTCAAAAAAAAAAAATTGTGGCTAATGTCTGAAGTGAGAGTAGCCTTACTGGGGGCTGTGATTTTAACTTGTGAATTCTGTGCTAACTCTATATAATCATAATATCTACACTTCATACAGATTCTGTGAGAAATAAATAAGTTAATATATGTAAAACATTTAGAAACAGTGCCTAGCATATATTAAATAGTACATAAATGTTAAAGTAGTTTTTGAGTTTTTGTTGCCGCTGCTGCTATTTTTATTACTAAAGTCCAGAGCTGGCTAAGATAGAGATTAGAAAGCTTTCCTGTGAAGATCTATATAACACAGAGAAAAGACTGGCTCCCAACATTACTCAGAAATGTTAACAATGCTAATCACACAGCTGACACTAGCCAGCTAACGTTCTGAACACAAATGACCACTGCTGACATCTACATCATCTAGCTAAACTCAGTACAGCCAGTTTGAGTCAGTGCCAGAATATTACATACTTTTTGTAGCTCTGGAAATCATCACTCCAGAAAGATTAAGGGACTTTCTCTGAATAATGAAGCAAATCATTGAGAGGAAGATGACATATAAAACTTCGCATTTTAGTCTGTCAAATCACCAGGTATAACACACAGTAAGCAAATTCAAAAATGGTTCATATATATCATTTCTCATCTTAACTGTGAACTACATCACTGTGCATTGAAAGGCTTTTCTCCACTCATGGTTAATGAAGACTCTCCCCCAAAAAACCTCACTCCATTGTCTTCCATTTTCCTGTAATTTAGAACACACTGGAAGTGTTCCAAATAGTTGCTGAGTCCAAAAATAAAGTCCTTAGCAGAAAACTGCCTGGAGCTGTTTTCTAGCATTATGATTCAGTCCCTCTGTTTCTGCCCTCTCACTTTCCTTTCCTAGATACTTCTATGTGAGCTTTCAGAAAAGGCCAGAATGCTCTCCCTGCCATCTCTAATTCTAAGTTCCTACTTTTGAAACACACTCTTAAAAACCAGCCACCCTGTCCTCATGTTATTAGAGAAAAATAAGAAAGCAAAAAACTAAATGATGCTAGCAGAAGATTTTTTTTCCTAGCACCGCTGGTATAGTTCCAAAGCTCATGTCACTGGCTTGATCTTCATCAGTAGGCAGCCTGAGTTGCTCAAGAGCTATTAAAGAAAAGACCCCAGAAAGAACTCAGCTTCCAAAGATATCTAGGAAGCTCTCTCCTACAGCTGCCTAATGTTTTTCCTACACTGATAAAACATAGAGTTAACAGGAAGCATCAGCCTGTCCATCCCATAATCAGGATTAGAATTCAGGTCTTCCTGTTTCAAATTTAATGCTCTCCATCTACAATATAGATGATCCCTTTCAGATCTCAAATTCTGTAAGCCTAAATTAAAATGTAAATAAAAATAGAAACTGCCTCATTTCTACTAAAACTAGTCTTCTCTAGACTAATGCTATCAACCAAGAGGGTACTGAAAAGCATCGGCCTACAGAGCTGAAGTTCCAAGCCAAAGTTCTGACTCTACTAAATGCATGATAATGAACAAGTAACTTTATACATCTAGGCCTAAGGTTCCTCAAATTAAAAACTAGGGACTCTGGTGGTTACTTATGTCTAACCCCTGTTAGCATCAGAACCTGCCCTAAGAGACCTTGGGAAGAGAGACTACTTCCAGCCTTGTTGGTATCTGTGCCCTAGCCACAGATATAAATAGAGAGGAAGCTAAAGCCCTGTTTTTCCCTTCCCTGTCAAGTCTCACACATGCCCTTTCACTAAGAACTCTGAAGTAAATGCTCCAGGAAAAAAAAAATGGTAATCATGATTTTGCAGTTTTACACAAATCTAAAGTTTTCATTAAGCTCAACATGGGTCAGTAAAGTGGTATGACTAGTGAGACACCAGTATCTAATCAGACTGCAATAACAAATGCACAGGATTCAGAACCAAGAAGGTGACAATCGTGTTCAACTCTGCGATGATAAAATCACACTTAGAGGTCTGCAGCCAACTACAGGATCTAAGAAACACATTAACAAAAGTGTTTATAGGCAGGAAATCAAGATGAGAAGGAGGCTGAGAAAAGTTTTTCTTCAAGAAGTAGGGCTACTTAACCTGGAAAAGAGAAAACTCAGAAGAGTCTACTGTACACTATTGCTTTCAACCAAGATGGTATAGAAAAGCTTTCAGCTGGCTGGGCACGGTGGCTCACGCCTGTAATACCAGCACTTTGGGAGGCTGAGGTGGGTGGATCATGAGATTAGGAGTTCAAGACCAGCCTGACCAATATGGTGAAACCCTGTCTCTACTAAAAATACAAAAATTTACAAAAATTAGCCAGGCACAGTGGTGCATGCCTATAGTCCCAGCTACTCAGGAGGCTGAGGCAGGAGAATCGCTAGAACCCGGGAGGTGGAGGTTGCAGTGAGCTGAGATGGCCACTGCACTCCAGCCTGCACGACTCCATCTCAAAAAAAAAAAAAAAAAAAAGCTTTCAACCAAGATGTTATAGAAAACAAGAGAGTCTGTACCCTCACCCAAGGACTCAGCAGAGCTGGGACTAAGTGGGAAGCTGGAGAAGAAAGAGGCTGCCTCAAGAGACCAGTAAGCTCCCTATCTCTGGAGATGAAGCAGCAAAATCTGGAAGATTCCTATGCCAGGGTCAGGTGTGTGTGTGGAAAGGGGTAGGAATAGGATAGAATTCAAAAAGTATTCTAATGAAAAAGAACTCCAACTCTGTAGAAACTTCCCCATGTCCAGCACAGTGACTATATTCAGTCTTATTTAATGACTGTTTGTAGACAATCATTTCAATAATTTACCCTTTACTAAGCATTTTATATTCATGTCCTTTTAAGGCCAAGTTGCTGCTTCTCTCTTCTCTAAACCTTCCCGCAACTAGGATTGATGACCAGGTTGCCTATTACCTTCTGATGACTTCCATGCCTTCCACAGGTCCTCCACGCTGATGAGCTTATCCTCACCATGGAAGGTGCTGTGTTTCACTGTTGGGTCATGGTAATTAAGGTCTTCCCTCAGGAACTGCAAGGGAAAAGTACACAAGTCACAAGATATACCAAGGAGTCAGCCCATCAAGATCTCCACACAGGTCACCTGCCTCTAGCTAGCCACAACACATTCCATCTACCCAACACACAAGTGTATCACATCACTCATGTATCCTTCCTTGTGCATATGTCTTAGCTGCCATTTAGTTGTCACTTCCTCTTTGTTTCATGTCACACTTGAAAAATATATATAAATTAGAAATTCCTTCCTCATATTTTTTAATTATGAAAAGATAACACAACAGTTAACTGAAAATCAATAAGCTAAAAGAGGAAAGAAAAAAGGAAGAATTTAAAATGTTTGAATACTCTTATACTAAGCAATATTCTAATAATTTCCACAATATTTCTTCATCAAATCTTCACAACCAATGAATTATCATACTTATTTTATAAATGAGAACAGTAATACTCTTGAAGATGATGCCATTTGCCCCAAATCACATTAGGTTTAGACCAGGTTAATTCACTGTGAGGATTTTAAAACATGTCCACAAATTATTTGACAACCCTCCCATTAAAGGTAGATTTCCCTCCCCTTTAATATAGGCTGACATTAGTGACTCATCTTCTAACATGGAATGTGGCAGCAGTGATGTTGCATGACACCCAAGTCTAGGCTAGAAAAAGCAATACAAATTTCACCTGGCTCTCTCTCTTTTGGGACACATGCCTGAGGGACCCTGAGCCAACATGTAAGAGGCCTGGACACCCTGAAGCCACCCTGCTGGAGATACCATGTGGAAAGACTATGTAGAGATAGAAATGCGTGAGTAGCCCCAGCTGTTTGGGTCTTCCAGCGCAGGAGTCAGGTAAGTGAGTGACTAGGACCTTAGGTGATTCCAGCCCCCAGCTCTGCAATCAGTTCGCCTGACACTGAATAGATGCAGATGAGCTATCCCTATTGAGCCATGCCAAGATTGCAGACCCATGAGCAAAATTAATGTTGTTGCTGTGTTAAGTCACAGTTATAAGGAAGTTTGTTACACAGCATTAGATAATTGAAACACTTGCTCAAAGTTATAGCTGACAAGTCATGGAGTTAGTATTTAGTCTGACGTTAAAATCCAAATTTTTCCCCAGCACGACACATAATGTCTTTTAATTATCTGGAAATTTTTTCCATAATATACTTTAACAAGAAAGAAGAAAAATAAAGGAAATCAAAGCTTTCAGAAATTGAACTGGTAATTAACTCCAGAGATACTCATATAGCTTAATTGTTAATCTCATTCATATGCATCAGACTAAACACTGACCACTGCTTTCCACAGATCCTCAAAATCAAAAAAGAAATGCAATTCTGGTCACTACTCTCACAAGAACACATTTTAGTAGAAATTTTAGGCAACGTCTCATCCATTTTTCCTTGTCCACAAGGTCCAGGAAAGAATGTGACCCAGAGTAATGTCAGTAAATGTTGCTGACTACATGAATAGATGGTCTCAGATTACCTAGATATAGTCACAGGAAGTCTAAGAGAGCCAGTCTAGGACCATAAATTAATACAGTCAATCCTTCACTCATTTATTCAACAGATAGTCAATGAGGATTCTGTGTACTAGATATAATTACCAGTACTAGAGAGGCCGTAAGTAGTAAACAAAACAAACAAGGATCTTTATCCTCATCATCCGACTGGAGTGAGAGAGACAATATAAATAAAGCAGGACATCCCTTCATAATAAAATCTCTCAGCCAGGTATGATGGCTCAAAGTTATAATCCCAGTGCCTTGGGAGGCCAAGGCAGGAGGAGGACAGTTTGAGGCCAGGTGTTTGAGACCAGCCTGGGCAACATAATAAGACTCTGTCTCTATGAAGAGAAGTTTTAAATTAGCCAGCTGTGGTGGCACACAACTGTAGTCCTAGCAACTTGGGAGGCTGAAGCAGGAGGATTGCTTAAGCCCAGGAGTTTGAGGCTGCAGTGAACTGTGATTGCACTATTGCACTCCAGCCTTGGTGATAGAGAGAGATCCTGTCTCTTAAAAAAAAAAAGAAAAAGAAAAACTTTCAGCAAATTGGGTATAGAAGGAATATACCTCAACACAATAAAGTCCATATATGACAAACCCACATCTAACATACTGAACAGGGAAAAGTTGAAAGCTTTTCCTATAAAAACTGGAACAAGACAAGGATGCCCTCGTTCACCACTATTATTCAACATAGTACTAAAAGCCCTAGCCAGAGAAATTAGGCAAGAGAAAGAAAGAAAGGGCATCCAAATTGGAAAGGATGAAGTAAAACTGCCCCTGCATGCAGACAACATAATCTTTTTTTTTTTTTTTTTTTTGAGACAGGGTCTTAGCTGGAATGCAGTGGCATGATCTCAGCTGACTGCAACCTCCACCTCCTGGGCCTCAAGCAATCCTCCCATCTCAGCCTCCCAAGTAGCTGGAACTACAGGTGTGCACACCATCCCACCTGGCTAATTTTTGGTATTTTTGGTCGAGACAAGATTTCACCATGTTACCCAGACTGGTCTCAAACTCCTGATCTCAAGGAATCCAACCACCTCGGCTTCCCAAAGTGCTGGAATTATAGGTGTGAGCCACCGTGCCCAGCCAACAACATGATATTAAATCTAGAAAAACCTACAGACACCACCTAAAAACAGTTAAAAGAAATCAAAACAGCAATCCCATTTACAACAGCTACAAAAAAGAAAATACCTAATAAAACAGTATGGAGGTTCCTCAAAAAATGAAAAATAGAACTACCATATGATCCAGCAATCCCACTATTGGGTACACATCCAAAGGAAATGAAATCAGCGTGTTGAAAAGACATCTGCACTTCCATGTTGACTGCAGCACTATTCACAATAGCCAAGATAGAGAATCAACCTCAAGGTCCATCAGCAAATGAATGTTTAAAGAAAATGTGGTATATTTACACAATGGCATACTATTCAACCATTTAAAAAAAGAATGAAATTCTGCCATTTGTGGCAACATGGATGTGCCTTGAGGACATTATGCTAAGTGAAATAATCCAGGCACAAAAAATCAAATACCACATGTTCTCACTTATATATGGAATCTTAAAAAGTTGATCTCATAGAAGTAGAGAATAGGATAGTGGTTACCACAATCTGGGAAGGGTGAATGGGAAGATGGGGAGAGATTGGTCAATGGGTACAAATTTACAATTAGGAGGATAAGTTTTTAAGTTCTAGTGTTCCATTGCACAGTAGGATGATTTTAGTTAATAATAATATATTGTATATTTCAAAATGGCTAGAAGAAAGGATTCTGAATGTTTACCACAAAGAAATGATATATGTTTGAGATGACAGATATACTAATTACCCCCTAATTTGATCATTATACATTGTATACATGTATCAAAACATCACACTGTATTCTATAAATATGTACAATTTTTTTGGATGGTTGGTTGGTGGGGTTTTGTTTTTTTTCAGACAGGGTCTCACTGTGTCACCCAGGATAGGTGATCCAACTGCCTCAACTTCCCAAGTAAGTTGGACTATGGGTGTGCACCATCATAATCAGCTATTTTTTGGATTTTTTATAGAGACAAGGGCTCACTATGTTGCCCAGGCTGGTCTCGAACTCCTGAGTTCAAGCAATCCTTCTGCCTCAGCCTCTCAAAGTGCTGGGATTACAGGCGTCAGCCACCATGCCCAGCCAATACGTACAACTGTTATGTGTCAATTACAAATAAAATAAAACTTTAAAAATGTTTTAAATAAAATTAAATTTAAATAAACAAAAAAGTAAGCAGGGAAGAGGAATAGGGAATGCTAAGAGTAATGGTATTCACAGTTTGTCATTTTAATGAGAGGAATCAAGGTATCATTAAGAAGCTGACTTCATTTTCTTCATTTTTATTTTATGTACAAATAGGTAATATGATTTTTCAATGGGTGGATGCCTTAGATAATCCATTCGAGAAAGACCACTTAGTCCAATTTAATGAAACCTATATCCTTCACATACTGACGGCAACACTAAAGACACATATTGAGGCAGTATTTCCAGATCAGACAATGCTGGTTTGAGCAGATCCAACAAGAGCGAGAGCCGTGGCCAAATTTTTGTCGGTGGCTCCAGTAGAGCAGCTGGTGATCCATCTTGCCTTCAGAAGTGCAACAAAGCAAAAGGCAAGAAGGTGATTTTAATGCAAATATTTGAAGAAGGTGTGGGAGAAAGGCATGCAGAATAACTGGAAGAAGAGTATCCCAAGAATAGAGAGGGGTAGATGCAAAGTCCCTGAGGCAAGAGAACAACTTGGTATGTTATAATAAGAAGGCCAGTTTGGCTGGTGAGAAACGAATAAGGTGGTGAGTAGCAGAAGATGAACTCAAAGAAGCCACAGAGTTCCAGAACAAAGAGCATCCTTTTTAGGCTATTATCAAGACTTTGATTTTTCACTCTGAGATGGGAGCTGTTACAGGGTTGGGAGCTGAACAGAGGTATAACATGATCACATTTATATTTTTAAGAGGATTTCTCTGGATACTGTGTTAAAAAGTAGGCTATAAAAGGGAAAGGGTAGATGCAGAGAAATCACCCAGGTGGCTACTGCAATAATGTGAGCTAATGGTGGCTCGAAACAAGGTGGTAGCTGTGGAAGTGATGAGAAGTTGTCAGGATTGGGATATAATTTAGAGATGAAATCTGCTATTCTCATGATTTTTTAGGTTTGATTAATCAGGTCCTTCAAGATATACCCTTCTTTGGTCCTCACAGGCTCCAACCTAGAACCTCTTAATCTAAGACTAGAGAGACAGTTATCATAAGCAGGCCTTGGGAGCAGAAACACCAAAATCTCCAAGGAAGGGGATTTTCTGCTATTATCAGATAACTCCAGGAAACCATCTGACGTGAGATACCAGCTGCTCATAGGAAACCAACAAGAAATAGACAAATTTTTATAGTCAAGCCTGATCACCGAGGTATGTGGAGAGCAGAGAAACTCAGAAAGAAAATGCAAGGAAGATCTGCACA